AATAAATGAATGCATAAATAAATATATGTTTATTCTCCTAGGTAAATTTAAGAATAATTTAACCTAAAATAGTTTCTTCCTTGCTGATCAAAAGATCACCCTGAGATTTTATTTTATTTAAAATTGCAGTCGTGAAAGTCTCTGATGGATTTTGATGGCAAAGTTGAGACTTTTCTGTGGCGAGGTTAGCTGTCCACCAAGGAGCTGCACCGGCTGCTGCACATGAGTGAATTCACCATGCTCCGGGGTTTGGCTATTGGACAGCCCTGCATGAGTCTTGCCAGTCCCTCTAGGCCAGCTGGACTCAGGGGCACTGACTTGTGCCTTATGGACCCATTAAAAAGAGTATGGGTGACAGGGGCAAACTGGCCCAGTCTGGCTCTGCAACAGTTATTGCCCTCACTCAGCCTCAGTTTCCTCCTCTGTAAAATGAGAATAATGTTCTACCCCTTGTAGTTACTTTGAAGAGTTGACGAGATTCAATATCTGGCCTATAGTAAGAACTCAATAAAAAGAAACATAATGATATTGATAAAAAATGATTAGGATGATAATAATAATGACAATGACAGCCATAATTAGAATAGCCATTTGCTCATTTACTCTTGTAAATATTACCATCAGTTTTCATAGGACAGACCCATCAGCCTTCATTGAAAGTTTTCTCCCTGTAGACAAGTTGTACACAAGAAGTCAAACTGTCATAATGTTATGTAAAGAACCTCAAGTCTTAACTGGGGGAGTTATTTTAATGGTTTATAGCTCTGATGGGCTGCTGCAGCCCCCTGACCATATGGCTCTACCTCCCAGGTTTCCCAGACTCCCTAGCAGTCTATCAGGACATCCTGTGCCCTGGACAATTTTGAATCACCACCGCCATTCTCTGCCTTTCTAACTCTTCTTTTTCCATGTTTGTTATTGCTGTCCAATGCTCTTCTTACTGGCCTCTCGGTTCTGTAATGGTCGTTTCCTCCACTTAACCTCAGCCACTTACTCCCACAGCCATATAATGAACCTTGTCATCAACAAAGCCCTCATCACCTCCAGTCTTGAGATCTCCCATTCTCTAACCCTGGAAATTTCCTATCCTTATATCTTACTCATGATCCAACATCTTCCCACAAAAGTTCTTCAACCACATTGTAATTTCCAATCCATAGATCCCAATACTTTCTATTCATTGTCCTCTCCCGCTATTCGTCCAGCTTAGAGTCCATGGTCCAGATCATTACAGTCATTCCTTTACAAACTCTCAATTCGCTTGCTCTTCTCTCCTTCCGTCATATTTTGCAAAACCTCTCCCAGGGTGAACTCAATGATCCACCATTTTCATATCTGTACCTAGCAGCTAAGACTAACTAGAGGAATTCACACAACTAAACAAACCAGTTTCATTTGAAATTAACAATCTCAACATTTCCAATGAGTTCTCAACACTGACAGAGTTCCAACATATTTCTTTAATAAGCTTCTCCCTCGATCTCTGAGATGACTCTTTCATTATCTTCTCTATTCAAACCTCCTACCTCTCACCTGCCTTTTCTCAGTTGATGACTTTGCCTCATGCTTCACTAGAAAAAACTGAAAGATTCCCTCAACACCATCAAGACTTCACCCTTTCTTGCATGCACACCCAGCCACCCTTCTTCTCCTTGCTGCTTTTATTAAACTAAGAAATTGTCTCTTCTTCTGTCAAGGTCCAGTCATTGACGCACTCTTTTGATCTTATCCCATCTTGCCTGCTCAAGAACTTTAATCCCCACCCCCCAATATCCTCAATGTCTTCCTCTCCACTGAATCATTCCATTGGCCTGCAAACACAACATTTTTTGACATTATATGCATACGTACATACCTTGACCTCATACCCCCTTCCATCCACTCATCCACTAACAACTCAGAGCTTTGGTTCCCCTTCACAACCAAACTTCTCAAAACAGTTGTCCATAAAAATGATTTTCCTATTTACTGCCTCTACACTCCACCCTATTGTTCTTGTTAATGTTACCTACAACTGCCAGTTCTTGTCTCTTTGCCCTTTTTGATCTCCCAGTTCTCTGGCTTCACATTACATAATTTTTCCTACCCTTTTAGCCACTTCTCTATCTCTTTTGCTGGCATCTCCCCCTGTACCCCAACTGGTAAGTGTTGGAGTTCCCCGCATGATCACAGGCTCAGTTCTCTTATTTCTCAAGAACTCTTATCTAAGGTGATTCATCTTTTCCCACGTAATTAACTACTATCTGTATGTTACCCACACCTGAATTTGTAACTCCAGCCAAATTTCTCTTTTGAGAAGAGATTGTGTATATTCAACTGCCTGTTTGACATCTCAGGAGTATCTCAAGGTTAACATGATCCCTCTTAATAGTCTGCCCACCTTAAGTAAAAACCATTTCTCACCCAATCTTCTCTGTCTCTGTAAGTGGTTGCTCAAACTAAAATCCAGGGCATTATCTTTGATGTACCTCCTATTCATACCTCATATCTTATCTTTCAGCCCCTGAAGTTTCAACATCCAAAACACATCTCAAATCCATCGACTTTTCTTCACTGTCTTACCACCTTAAACCAAGGCACAATTAGGTTTTGTCTGGACTATTGCTTGAGTTTCCTTACTGGTCTTCTGGTTTCCAATCTTGCAAAATCATACGTCTCCCCCGCCACTTAAAGCCCTTCATGTTTTTCCCATTGCATTTATGATAAGATATAAACTTGTTACCCCACCTCCCAATCCCTGGCTGGCTTGGCCCATGCCCTGCCCTCCACTCCTCTGGGGCCACTCTCCCCCTTGCCCACTAATGTGCTGTGCTCATCTCCTTTCTGCTCTTTGAACGCACTCAGCTCTTTTATGCCTCGGGTCCTTCACACACATTTTCCTTTCCCTGCTTCTCGTGAAGATGACTTATCTTTCAGGTCTTTTGCTCAAATGTCACTTCCTCAGAGTCCTTCCATCACCAGCCTGCAACAGTGGTCTCCTCAATTGTGTTTCAGTGACTACTCTGGGCTTTATTCCTTCTAACATTTGTCAAAATTTGTAGTTATATTGTTATCTGTTTGTTTATATGTCTTTTGATCTCTCTTCCCCCATAGGCTGAGAGCTCAAGGGGAAGAGCCCAGCGCTGCTATAGGCACCAATTTACATCTGGTGCTGAGAGAAGTTCCGGGGCCTTTTCACACCTCTGTACCTTACCTGTGTACCTTACCTGTGCTCTCTGTACCTTACCTGTGCTCTCCTTGCTGCCTCCACTAAAGGCTGTGAGGGACACCTGCAGCCTCTGCTAATGTTTCCCTCTGCTGCTGAGGAAACCTGGGACAGAAATTGAAGCTCATAAAAATATTCATTGAATGAATGAATGAGTAAATGAATACTGGTATCCCACACATTTTTAGAACTTCTGTTCTCACTGATGTCTTATTATTGAGATCATTTGCATGACTGGGAATCAACTAAGAGAGACATGTGTGAAGTCTCTCGCAAGCCTGACTTTGGCAACGACCTCCTTCCCTTTCAACCCCCCTTTTCCTGTCTGGCCTAGAGCTATTTCCCTGGACCTCCACTTCCACTCCAGGGCCATATTCTTTTTATCTTTGCCCCCAGCTCTTCTTAGGTGTTAATTTTACCACTTATATATGCTCTAACCACACTGAACCTCTCTTCATTTTCTTGAAATGATGGGGTGCTTTCATAGTCTGTACCTGCCTCCACCCAAGGCTATGAGTTACACCTGCAGCCTCTACTGATGTTCTTCTCTGCTGCTGAGGAGTGAGTGCTGGGGACAGCAGCATTTCACCTCTACTGGAGCCACAAGTACCAGGCACACGTGGAGAATTCATGGGCACCAGTAATACTTCCTCTGAGTGTCAAAGCTGAACTGGGTTCTCTGGACCCCTCAATATCCAAAAGCCACGTGGAGTCGGGGAAATGCTCCTCTCCCCTTCTGTACTGCATTCTGTTAGCTGGGCGTCGAAGCAACATGTCTTCTTTTCCTATCTCTAATGTCTTAGAGTTTTTCAAACTTAGATTTCATGACCTCAGAGATATAAATAGATATCAGAGTCCAAAATATACCGACAGTGATTTATTCAATTATTTTTGTTTCAATTTTGTTGAGTATGGAAAAAACAACAATATAAATATATTCTGGATCTTCTGTACAGCCACCTTATAATACTGCCACAACCAATTTGTATTTATAAACACATGAATTGAAAGTATAATTACATTATGAAATACTGCATAATATTTTTTCCAATTGTTCGCAAAGAAAAATATTGAGTAACTATATGGTACGTGGCAATCTAAGCATACCCCAGAGCAGTGTGTAAAGAATTTGTGTTGCCAGCTGATGTTTTGTGCCGATCCTATTTTTGAATGTATCAAATAGCAACCATTGGTTATGTCCATATATTTTTAAGTAGGATCATAATAACAATAATTGGTTAATGCTAAGTTCACAAAAAATCTTTTAATCATTAAAAATCTTCATTACATTACTTGAACTGTGAAGTGTTTTATCAAAGAGATTCTAGCAAAAACTGCTCTTTCTGTCTTCCTTTTTATTTTTAATTTTTGTTTTGTTTTGTTTTTAATGATCAACCCCACCTGTAAGACTCAGACAGAGGCTTTCCAGAGTTAGGCTAAAAGATGAACCTGACTTCCTGATACCACAATCATCCTCCTGCCCTGCCTCCAAACAACTGAAGTGGCTTATTAGGCCACACTTGACTCTCCTTTAGGATGAATTCTCTTCCAGAAGGCTCTTTGTGTAAATGACTTCCTGGCACCCACCCCTCCAGTCCTCCTCATACATAAATGTGCCTTATCACAACTTGGACTCAAGCTGGAATCTCCACTGTCCTGACTTAAAGAAGGAAAAAATGGAAAATAAATGAGTAAACACGTGATTGACTGAAATGAAGAATTAATTCACCTGACAGTAGAAAAGCCATTGCTTGCTCACTATATGATTTGGAGAAAAAGTATTCTCTCTTTCCAGGTGACAGAAGACAGATTTAAGTTAGAAAAAGATAAAGGGAAAGCAAAATCTCCCAAGGAGAAGAAGGCTCCAAGTCCTAAGGTTGCCAAAGGAAAGGGAAAGGATCAACCCGAGGCCAATACAACAGTGAAAAAGACCACGCAGTTAAAACGGAGGGGAGAAGAAGATGACGCCAAATGTTACATTGGTCAGTAAGTTCTGCTCCTGCTGGTGCCTTTCACTTCCCGCTCCATGACCGATCATGTCACTTCAGAAATCAGTCCAATAACGGTGCTTAACCTTTCCCAGCTTTTTTACTCTTTATGAAACCATATGACTTACTCCCCATGACACCATAATAGAAAAATATTTCTATTTGCAATTCATTTGTTTTTAAGCAAATATTTATTTAGCATGTGTCTGGCCAGGCACATTTACATAGTGCAAATAAGGGCTGAAATAGCCAGCTGACTGTGGTATCTTATTGGGAACATAAAGGAAAGTCAGACATAATTAATAACGCAAAATAAAAAGTGATTATTGTCATGAGTGAAATACAGTGGTAAGAAAATCAGACCAGTTAATTTGTGACTCACAGAATGTATAGCTTCCTAACTCCCCTGTTCCGAGATAGAGCAACTGGAATTTTCTTTTAGATTATTAATATAAAAATTATTCATCGTAGGCAGCTGTAAGTCATTCATTTCTGCCTTCTCGTGAACCCAGATGAAGCGATCAGTTGTTATTCATCATATTTGAGTAAGATAGCAGTGGGCTTTCACATCCTTTACCAGTTGACTCCCCTCATATATTCTCTGCTCTAAATCCACTGCACTTAGCTGTGATGTTGTTATGGATTCCATGAGCAATATCAGCATTGATTTGTTTAGTGATAGAAGAAAAGTCATAACTTAAAAATTAAAAGTTGTGCCTCTGTTGCACTATTTGTAAGTTGATCTTAATGGACTATTATGAAATCTAATGTTTTCATATACAATGGCTATCGATATTAAAATATAACAATTATTCTCAATCCTTGGAATATCACATTCTAAAATAAACTCATGTTTTAATATTAATAAAACAGTGTAACCAGGGAAAAATAGAGGAGAAAAATTTTAGGAAAGTACACAATATGTACTTTTAAAATGTAATGCAATAAATACGTAGTTGCTACATAACCCATATTCACATTCATACCTGTTGACATAAATGCATATAATACTTTGGTAAGAGAGCATGTTCATATTCAATATTTCCCTCTCCTGTAAACACCTCTACTTATAAAATACCACAAAGCTGCAGTTACTCGTAATTCAGGAGTAAAGCCAGATGTTGCTCAAAAGACATTAGAACCCAAAAATGGTTACAGGCTAAACTCTGACAAAAACCTAAGCACACATTTTCCATGACCACAGGCCCCATATATGTTTGTCCTACTATTACACCTATGTCTCATTTGCAAAAGTGATTTAATATTTTGTAAAATGGTCACAGCCTTATTACTGGAAGGGCAATAATGAAAAACAGTCAACATGACTGCATTCCAAGCAACTGGATCATTTTTGGCAAGCCAGAGGGATTATAAATGCATGTATAATGTATATAGCCATTGAACTGGCTGAATGCAACCTGTTCTCTTTTACAATGATGGCTTCTCTTCTTTATGGTATTTTGAACAGATGATGAGCCAGATGATGGTGCCCAACATTACATTATAGTTGTGGGTTTCAACAATCCTCAGCTATTAGCGATTATGACTGAGCTTGGCATTCCTATAACCAGCGTGATTAAAATATCTTCAGAGAATTATGAACCTCTGCAGACACACCTGGCAGCAGTTAGCCAGCAGCAGGAAGTTTTTCTTCAGCCAGAAGGTATGCAGTCTGCTACACAACTTACTGAGTCCTTCAATATTACCCACTATCCTTAAAGTACAAATATAATTTGCTGTCCAAAACACAGTCACAGAATGCATACATTATTAAATCCTTTCATGACTTTGATTTGCCATTTATTCTGCTTGTACTAGCCAAGTGTTGTAAATTAAATTTTGCAAATTAAAATCATACTCTGTGTTTATATTCCTGTGTAGCCACAGAAAACATAGATTTGATTATCTGATCAGAAGACTTGATTGTCCAACTACTTTCTCAGTAATATTGGATCTATAACTTTTCCCTAAAGCATGGGCCAGATGGATCATTGTTGATAATCTGTTCTTACAGAAGCCACAATTACCAAATGGTCCAAGAGAGGTCATAGCCTTGTATTTTTGCACTGATCTGCTACTGGCTTATTGTGATAAGTCAGTGGAGGTGCTTTATCTTCCTGGCCTGGACTAGGAAGTTATAGGATGAAGTCCCAACCATGCTACCATTCAGGCATTTTGAGCCTTGGGGTCTTCATGTAAGGAAATTGTGCTAGTCTAACTCTGTAGAAAGAGAGCAAAAATCCACAGTATTCTTTAGGAAATAGAACTGGGATTTGGTGTAAGCCTGAGTTACCAGAAATCCAAGCTCTTTCTGCCATATGCTATTGCTTTTATTGTTATTTATTAATAATATAATTTGCACAGTGCTTTGTAACTTAATAGCCACATCCTAATTTTTATAATACTACATTTTTTAATTGCTGTTCAAAGTTAAAAATAGCTATACCTGATAATAATAATAGCTATCACATACTGGGCACATGTTTTGTGACAAGGCTCAATGCTAAGGGCTTTAATTACATTGGTTCATGTAATGTTCACAAGCCTAGGAAGTATGTTATGTTATTTTCATTTTACCAAAAAGTACTCTCCGTCTAGAGGCTGCTATTAAGTAAAAGAGTTGAGCTTCAAACCTAGGCTACTCCTATCTCAAAGGATAGCTATAACATTAAATAATTTATTATTGAAGCTGGTAAGAAAATGTATATACTGCAAACATAGTCTCTCTATAAAAAACATTTAATGTATAAAAATAAAATCGTAGACAATAGACTTTATAAGTGAATAATGAGATCTTAGTAGTAGAACCTCCTATTTAGTTATAGAAGTAATAAACATAAATATTTCGTGTAAATTTTCAAGCACAACTTTATGGAAATATGTCATTATTTTACAGTCAGAGTGCAAATGCCCAGAGAAGTTTCTTGCTATTTTAATGTGACCAGAAGTTATCTGAAGCATAAATCATTGATCCAATCTGTTTTTAGCCGTGGGAGAAGGAGAACTAGATCAACTGCATTTCTAACCGGTTATGTAGCAGACACTATGATGGTCAAAAATTGATTTGGAAGAAAAACCAATTCTATATATTAATAGATGCAATCTAAAACTGATGGAAATCTTCAAAGTAGTTAGCTCCCAAAATTAGTGATCTTGTCAAAATCTTTCCGGGCCTCAAGTATGAAATGAAGAGCTGAGATAAGCTCATATTTAGTATCAAGCTCAGAAATAAAATCCTCTGGTTTCATAATTATACACCAGTTTCAAAAACTTCTCAAAATCACATTTCTCTGTTTGCATTTTCTGGTACCATACAGACATCTTGCAATGCATATGACTCACCACATCCACTTAAAGTGGGAAAAAATTTAACACTTTCATTTTGTAGTATAAACATGTTGCTATTATTAGGCATAGAAGCTGAAAAATTGAAGAAAGAGAATGCCATAAAAGAACTTGAAATTTTCTGGAAGTACTTGGAACCAATCCTGAATAATGAAAAACCTGAAACAAATCTCTTTGATGTTGCACGACTTGAATACATGGTCAAGGCAGCTGATTTTCCTTCTGACTGGTCAGACAACGAGATAATGGTTAGTGCATTTGTAAGAGTGCGTGGTTTTAACGTGTGACACTGTGGGTCTATTTGATGCATTTATTCATTTCACAGATATTTACTGAGCACTGACTACTAGTGCTGGGCTCTTTTATCTTTACAATAATGATAATATTGAATGCCTAATGATGGTTACAGTCTGATTCTCTAGCTTTTAGTGTATGAATTATGAATGAATGACAAAGAATAACATGTAGTAGATGAAGATAAAAGATGGTGATTCTTTTATTTGGTGACACATGGCTTTGTTTCATACCTCAATAATGTTCTAGGCAGTAATTAGAATCTTAATATACATTATATTAATTTTGCAAATAGTAATTGTATAGTTTGTTGAATTACATGTCTGTCTCTTTTTTATGGATAAGTTCAAACATTGCCTTTCTAAGCTGTTGCATTTATTGCCAAAATCTTTTTTAATGTATTTGGCCAACAAGGTCTATCCTAATAGGATGACTTGATCCTGGCCCCACAATTAGTAAGCATTTCCTGAGAGCGTTTTCTGGCCCCTTTTATTAAGGAGTTTGCAGAAAGACAAGACTAAAGCCAGGAAACAGAGAAGCAGTGGGCAAGGTACCATATATCTAGGTGCTCAGTTATGTGAAATACGCTCTAAATTTTCTATTAATGCAGAAAAAGAAGAAATGGGGATTTAACACTTGGAAAAGTAGTGAATGCCGGATACATAAGGTGTGTGTGTGTGTGTATGTGTGTGTGTGTGTGTGTGTGTGTGTGTTTAAAGAAGGTCAAGTGACTACTTATCAAGAATGTTTTGGAAGGCATTCTGGCATCCCGCTCTTATAGAAAACCACTCAGGTCTTTTTCTAGTTGACCCCCTATCCCAACAAACAGGGGCTCAGGGGTATTGAATACCCTGAAGGACTACATATTTTAACATCAAGGGAGCTAAAATGAAAGCAGAGTCCTAAGGAAGGTCCACGTCAAGTGAGTGCTCAGAAAGGAACTGGGCAAAGTGGGAGACAGGAGGTGGATGGGTGTCTGTATGCAGTGACTGTTGGTAGCTAAGAAAAAAACTGCTGACTGTGTAAGAGGAGAGTGGGATCAAAGCCTGAACTGTTTCTTCGTCTAAGCGTAGGCTGCCCATGGCCATGGGCCGCGGCATGGACACTTCTGACTCTGAGAGCCCTCGGTTCTGTTACCTTGAGGTGGATGGGCACTTAGTTAAGTAAGTGAAAACATTGACAAGGGAGGCCAAATTTGAACCCTGAAGGATGGACAGAACTTGAATAAGTTGAGTTACAAAGACTTTCAACACAAGGCCTCAGGTGTCACTATGTAAGAACAGGACAGTCCAGTCTGATACCTTGCCAATACAAAGAATGAATATCAGCCTTGTGCTGTGCGTAGGAAATGAAGCTGAATGTAGAATAGCTGCAGTGGAAGCCAAAACTGGTTACTCCACACTCCCTTTGGCTTCACCTCTCCCCACACCTTCATCTGAATATGCTCAGCTCTCCTGCTTTGTCTTTCTCTCCTGCTTCACAACTGGAGCCCAGAAAAGGACTCACTGTCATCTGCCCTTCACTGTTTCACATTACATTGGGTCAGTATGTTTCTCTGTCCCAGAGATATTGACATTATAAGTAATGTCATGAATATTCCGTTGACTATGCCATGAATATTCATGAAATACTTCATGAATATTCCATTCTATTTTATTGGAATTCGAGATCATCAGAACATAGACGTGAAGACCGTGACATACAAATTGCAACTGCAAAACACTCAGCACCACTCCCAGCATCTGTTTTCTACTCCAGTTCCACAATCTCCTGTCTGTTCATTAGAAGATTTTAATCACTTCTGTTAAAAGAAAGTGATAGTGGCTATATTTTATCTTTTGAAAAATATAGAGTGGACCACTTTAAATGGCAATTGAAGTTTGGAAAAATTCTTTTATGTCAAAAAATATTACCAACTTCGTTCAAATATTAGTTATGGTAGAACATTCCTGACTTCAGAACTAGAAGATTCACATACAGGGCATCTAGGTGGGCCACGAAGGTAACTGTCAACAATGAAAACATTCAGCTCTCTCAAGAGCTAATTAGGACTATGTTGCCCAGCTGGTCACACTGAACTGCTGTCAGTCAATTTGCAAGTATTCACTGAACATCATCTTCATGCCAGGGCTGTGGTCTGGGCTAGCTGCAGTAACATTTTTGAACCCATGAATGCCTCTATAAGATGTGGTTTGTGAGTGAGGGACTCAGCATTGAGGATGACGGGAAAGGAGAGTCTTGAAAATGGTTCAGTAATAAAATTGGATTCCAGAAGAAAAAGCCATTGGATTTAATATTGAAGATTAAAGTTCATTTTAAACTTGGGATCATTTAATAAACATAAAAGTGATAAATCTACTTCTAGGAGAAGCAGATCTAATACATGGTGTCACACTCTCAGCTATATCTGTAAGTTGATAATGGCTTCATATTCAAGGTATGAGCCAGCAAGGAGTCCTTCTTTCTCTTTGAATGGAGGAAAGCATTTGCAACTTTTGGCTGCAAACAAGTAGGCCATATTTCTCCTGAACCAAGATAACGAAGGCTTTACATCAAGTAAACACCCATCGAGATGTACTGACTGCTCATGGAAGACATCTGAAACATCTCAAGTTAAGACCCTGGTTGCTGAAGTAATTTGCTGGCCTTTAGCATGTGATTTGCTGTTTGATTTAAAAATGAATTAACTAGGATAAGTGAAGGATTTTTGGGCAGAAGCTTTACTATATTTCTTAGAAATACAAACAAACAAAAATGTATTCCTATGCCAGAATTTGGGCAAGAAGTACAGATTGAAGTTTAACTAAAGAAGGCTCAGTCTTAGCATGGGCATGTGAAGCCAGACAGACAGGTGCCCCATAGTGACGGGCAGGGCTGTGCACTTCCCTGGACTTCTGTCAGACTGCGATTCACTGCCCATAAGACCCCACCTCATTCTGCCCTGCCTCTTCAACTCAGTCAAAGGACGAGCCTATTTCAACTGTCTTTGCTTCCCAGCACCCAAAACCAGCCATCACAGTGCTCTCCTACTTCTGGAAACAAAAGCCCAGGTAATAGAGTTATCTTATCTATAACTCTCCTACCAGCTCATAAAATTTGTGGGCATTATGGAAGCAATAGTCTATCAGGATTGCTTAGTGGTTTTCTTTAAAGATAGCACAGGTGAAAGGAAAGCAGTGAGGCAGGAGGGAAAGGAAGAAATTGATAACACATGTACTGTAGCATACTTGGGTGGATGATGTAGAAAGCTGAGCAAGTGATTCCGTTGTGTCCCTCGCACAGCCAGACAAGAAATCATCAATAGCTTGTCTTTGGCTGAGGATATCAAAATTATCTAACATGTTTAGGAATTGAGATACTAAGAACATGGGCCACAGTGCTGAAAGTAATGATTAGGCTCTTTTTCACTTATTTGAAGCATTAATTAGGCTCTTACAATATTAGCCAGCCATATGTCCCTCCAAAGGGAACAGTCTGCATTGTGGTGAACAAAGAAGGGCAAGAAGGGATCACAGATGAAAACTTGGTCGCCATGAGTAGGATCCAGTGGTTTGGGGATTTAGGGCTTGCTTCCCTGTGTAAAGTTCACAGGCTTAGCTGACAAGGGTTATATAAACTGTGTACCTGATTCCAACACTATAAAACTAATAACCAATTATCATTAATTCTTTCACCCATAGCTGGAATTGGGCACTGATATTTTCGAAAATATTGCCTGTTTGATGTATGACACCCTGGAATGGAAAAGGCAGCACCAGCACTATCTGGAAAGCATGAAGCTTATTCATGTTCCTCAAGTGGTTAATGAGAAAACTATCTTAGAAGCCATGTCAACTCCTGAGGTAGGTGTGGGCTCAAATGTCTTTAGTGGGCTGAAGGACTAAGTAAACAACTTAATTTTCACATTTATAAAGCATATGAAGAAAAATTATGTAACTAGTTGTATCAAGCTAATGCTGACTGCTGGAATTTAATACATGAAGGTGAGAACAAGGAAAAAGCCCCCCAGCATGGCCTTAAAGAGAGCTATATGGTGGGGACTCTATGAAGTTCCTTAGTTTCCTGACACCTTCGAAGGTTAGGATGGAACCCACTGGTCAGGGCACAATCAATGAATAAACCTGGAACGGGGAGGAATGTTGATAAAGTAATCACAGTATTTATTTAGCAACTACTGTGTGCTAGCACCGTGCGAGATGCTGGCAAGACAACAATGAAGACTCATTCCCTGTCCTCCTCACTGAGGTTAACTTTTAATTAGGATGACAGTCAGGTCGACAACAGTTTCAATATGACATGATGAATGCTGAGAGTAGTCAGCTCAGAGTGCAGTGGAAGCAATAAAAATGTCACCTCACCTACTGTAAAAAGGAGTAGGGCAGAAAGAAAAGAGTCAGGAAAATTGTACCAGAATTAGTGATGTGGTGAAGGCTGGGGATGATTGCCTACGGGAAAGCACGGTGGGGGAAGGGACAAAATGGTATTCTAAAGAAAGCAGCAGAGAGGTACAAAGATACGGCAGTCAAAGAAAAGAAGTATTACAGCGCGAACCAGGGCCACAGGGTAGCTCTGTCATTCCAGGCTGCATGTGCAAAGTGCAGAACAACAACAGAAGCTAAAGCTGAAGAGGGGGAAGCCAGGTCATGAATGTCTTTTGGTGCTGAGTGAGAGTCTGGCAATGGAGAACCACTGAAGGGCTGTAAGAGGGAAAACGGGAGGACTCTGAGTCACTCAGGGACAAGAAGCTGTTTGACTCTCAGTGCCCCGTCTCCCAGGGCTTTTCCCGCAGTTGCACAGTGGGCTCTGGTGGGAAAAACTGACCAGCGTCCATGCCATTTGCTTCCTTCCTCCCTCAGACAAAACTCCTTTTCTTTGATCCTAAAATTAGCAGATGACTTTGTGGTATGAACATAATCATACAATCTCAGAATTCTGCTGGATCTCTTCATACCAGCATTTGATGAAAGCATCTCAGCTGGACATCTCAGTTGTTTCTTTTTAATTATTCTCATTTTAGCCTCTACAACCTGTTGCTTCAAGCCCTGGAAAGAAGAAAACACAAGATGAAGAACCACAAGCTCCACCACCAGGCACGTATGAAACCCTGTTGCCGGAGGATCAACACCATGAGCTGGCATTTTAAGAAATAATGACTGCCCCTCCATATTGCTTTCATCTCCACCTCCACCTGTGGTTTATATGTGTATTAGTACATGGTCATAGTTTGAATTTATGCATGAAATTTTGATGGAAGAAATGGAGAACACACCTTAATTGGGCAATGATATTTTCTATATTTTATAGTGAGTTTTGTCATCACAACTGAAGTAGACATGAGATACTACAATGACTTGTTGAATCCGATTCCAGAGGAATTCATTTCTGTGCCCCTGATACTGCATTGTATGATTGAACAGGTGGGTATAGTCTGAGGCTTTTTCCCAGACAATAACCTTGAGTAAGTCACTTCGTCTCCCTTGGCTTCCATTTTTTTAACACTATTTTAAAATTATACTCCTGATACCTGAATGCATTCTCCTTCATAAAGATTAAAACATTTCAGATAAAACTACGGTTTGCCTTGATCATCAGCTTCAATCCTTTTTCTTTTACTGTGCTCTGGAACAGTTATTATAACATTCTCTGAAGTTTTGCTAAAATATATCTTTAATAATATCTGTGTCTGGTGTTGTTTTAATGGAAGAGGAAGAGGACATGAACAGATGGGTGAGGTGGTTAATATCTATTTAACTATATTTAAAATTTCTTTTATACTTATAGATTTAATTAGATTTTTCTACCTCTGAGGCCAATTTCGGTCATTGGTACTTTCCTTATGAATATGTCCATTTTATTTGGATTTTCAATATGATACAATGTTCTTTATACTATTCACTTAAATACATATTTAAATTTCCTCTATATCTGGTTATGTTCCTTTTCTACTGACTAATGTTATGTATTTGTGCCCTCTCTTTTCTTTATAATGATTGTTAATGGTGTATCTATTGTACTGGTATTTTTCAAAGAACCAGTATTTTATTTCATTGATCAATTCCTTTTTATTTATTTTATTAATTTCTTCATTTATCTTTATTATTTCCATCTTTCTACTTTCTTTCTTTCTTTTTTAAGACAGAGTCTCGCTCTGGCACCCAGGCTATAGTACACTGGCGTGCATTCACAGCAACCTCAACTCCTGGGCTCAAGCGATCCTCCTGCTTCAGCCTCCTGAGTAGCTGAGACTACAGGCGCCCACCACCACTCCTGGTTAATTTTTTCTATTTTTAGTAGAGACGGGATCTCACTCTTGCTCAGGCTGGTCTCAAACTCCTGACCTCAAGCAATCTTCCTGCCTTGGCCTCCCAGAGTGCTAGGTTTACAGGCGTGAGCCACTGCACCCAGCCTCATGTTTCTACTTTCTTTGGATTTATTTTGGATTTCATTTTAATTATAAGCTTACTTTATTTAGTCTTTTTTGCTTTACATAAAGCTATACATTTCCTTTCAAGTGTTTCTTTGGCTGCATCCCGGTGTTTTAATGTATTCAGTTCTAAATGTTTTATTTACTTATCGAATCCATGAATTATTTTGACTTCCAAATTGATTGTTGAGTTCTAATTTCCTATTTTTGATTTCTAATTTTATTATTATCAGTTAGCATGTTCTGCAAGTTAACCAGTTACAATTTCCTGAGGCTTCCTGTGTGACCTGATGTACATGGTCAATTCTTATGAATGTTCTACATATACTTGAAAAGTTTGTTATTCATCATAGCTGCATACATATAGCACTTATAGGTACCAGGCACTGTTTTAAATGCTTTCAATATATTAACTCATGTAACCTTCAGAATAATCTTAAGAAATAGGAACTACTTTTATCTCCCATCTTCCAGATCAAAAAACTGAGGCATAAAAAGCTTACATAGTTTGTTCGAATAGTAAGTAGCAGAAATGACTTTTGAACCTAGTCAGTGTATGTGGGAAAGTATTTTGATGGCATTGCTCTATTGTCGTCTTCCTTCTAGTTTTGCAATGAGAAGTCCAATGTCAATCTGATACTTTTTTCTTTGCAGGTAATCTATTTTTTTCTTTCTAGCAGCCATTAGGATTGTATCTTTATAATTGATAACACAAGACTATATCTAGGAATAGCTTTGTTTGTTTTACCATTAAAACAAACTTGCTTGTCATTATTATCTAAGGAAATTATAATCTGATTTCCAATCACATTCTGAATAAAATCAAAAGTCCTTACACTGTCCCAAAAAGGCCCTAAATGGGCTCAATGTCTGACACATACATACATGTTGAATGAATAAAGGTTTAATATTAATAATAAGGGGATGAAGAAATTGAAGTATAGGAGTGGTGGGATGGCATTTTACAGGATGGAATATTAGAATTAACATTTCAGAGGAGGAACAGTTTTGAGTGATCTTTCATGATTGGAGTAGGTCTAAGAGATGATCAGAAGACAAAAAGTAGAAACAGTTAGTGACTCTTTTGAAAGTAGGATCTATATAAAAGATAAAGAACATGAGGCTATTTTGTTACTCCGTAGCAGTGGTTCTCAAGAGGGGGTGATTTTGCCTCCCAGGGGACATTTGGCAATGTCTGGAGATACTCTTGGTTGGCACAACTAGAAGGTGCTACTTGCATCAGGTGAGTAAAGATCAAGGATGCTGCTGAATATCCTACAGTGCGCAGGACAGCCCACCACGACCAATACTTATCTAGTCCACGATGTTATTAATGCCAAGGTTGAGAAATCCTGTAGAGGGATTTGAAATCATAGAGGATGATTATAGGATTTAGGATAAAGAAAAAAGCTGAAAAGTAAGTTCCTATTTTGATTATATTTCAACATTTTTTACCATGTGAAATTCAACAAGGAAGTTAATCTTTCTAGGCCTCACTTTCCCTATGTAAAGGAGACTGTTATTCATTTCTTGATCTCGTCATCTTTTCACTTTTCTATTTTTAGAGGAAGAATGAGGACTTGTCCTGAACCCCAGTTCCTCCCACTCAGTAGCCTTAGGCTTGGACCAGTCATCTAATTTCACTCACCCTACTTTGTTCTTCTATGAAATAGAAAATAATATCTACCCCATAAGACTGCTGTGAGGTTTAAATGAGTTAATGCACGTGAAAATGCTCTACACAGTACCTAGCATGTAGTAGGCACTCGTAAATGTTTATTGAATCCAAAGTTGTAGGATCACCATTTTCAGTGCTTTAAGATAAAGAGTAAATGTCGAGAAAAATATGTTATTTTTATTTATGCCACATTAAAGTTTATTGTTTACTATTTGTATTTTGTATTATCTATTTTAATACAAGTATTAAAATTATATCTAGTTTAATGCATGATTACAAACATTTTTCCTTTTATGTTGGTAATCACCGATACTTTCCTGCCATTTTATGTAATTACTGGTACTTTGGTGGTAGAAACAGACTTGTTCTTACTAAGAGCAATGGAAATACAGCAGTGAGCAATGAGCACCAGTAAAGAGCTGACATCAAACCCATTCCTCCCAATTAGGTTGTGGCAACTGAAGAAGATCTTGTCCCACCCAGTCTGCTGGAGCCACCTCCCAGAGCCGATGGGCTAGACCATAGAATCGCAGCTCACATCGTGTCCCTCCTACCCTCGCTCTGCCTCTCAGAGAGGGAGAAAAAGGTCAGAGGGCCTGAAATATGCAAAAGAATCTTCATGCTTTGAAAAAGTATGTATTCTCTCCTTAAATCAATATTATTTCAATTTGAATAGAATCTCCATGAGGTATTCTTATCTGAAGAAGAAAGCGAAAGCAAAGCGGTGCCCATAGGCCCTCTCCTACTGAACTACCATGATGCACATGCCCACAAGAAGTATGCACTAAAGGTAATAATAATCAGTTTACCCTAAGGATAACTGATGTGAGAAAATGTGTTTATAATTATTCAGTTGAAGGAAGCTAATTAGATAATTTTACCGATGCTAATTAAAATGTAACATACAAAATAGATACCTGCTTGCAAATTAGGATCTCAAAATGGAGATGAATAAGGGAAAAACGATGCCAGCAAAGAAAATGCACCTAATTATAGAGGTCCAATTAACGATTCAATTGATTGTGACTACCACCAGATTTGCATTAAAAGCTTATAGTTATTTGCTTTAAATATCTGCTTCTATGAAAAACTAGTGGAGGCCAGAAAAGGACCTCAAAAGGGAGAGATGAATATATGTGAAACTTTGGCAGTTTGTCACCATGAACGAAGAATCAGTCATTTTTGTGCACCAGGAACTTATGGCAATGCAAGGAACTAGCTTTTTTGGCCTTCAGCAAAATACCAACAGTTTGTCTTCCCCAATTGCCATGGATTTCCCCAGTTCCCAAATAATGAGAGTGAAGGTACGATGTTTAGCCTTCTCCATATGCATGAGGCACTTTGCAGCTTACTTTAATGTCTTCTGTCATGTTGCTCTTTTCCCTCAGGACCAAAAGAATTTTGACCCAGTTCAAATTGAGCAGGAGATGCAGTCCAAGTTGCCACTGTGGGAATTCCTTCAATTCCCTATGCCCCCACCATGGAACAGCACTAAACGTCTAGCTACGATTCATGAGCTTATGCACTTTTGTACAAGTGGTGAGTACATTGCTTTGTGCCTCTTAAAATTAAATCCTTATTTGCAAAAAACATCTTGATTATTGAAAGTCCTTTCAGAGGCTAAGATGGGTATTTTGATGGACTACAACTTTCTTATCTTGAATAATGTCATCAGCAATGGTATTATAGCTATGAAGCATAACGTTCTTCAATTTGATGCAGTGGGTTTTCATTCCACTGTGTTTCCGTAACCAGATTTATTCCCTTATTTCCTCCCTTTACCATTCTCTGCCCAACATCCCCCCCCCATTGACATCACTGGAGATGACGTGGTAATCTACTTAAGAGGAGTAAAGGTTTGTATATTTTTAAAAATTTTAAAATAAACAAAATCCTCCCATCTCAAGCTATCATCGTCCTGTGCTAGGACAATGCCATCCTTCCCTCCACTGCCTCACCACTGCACTCATTTATCGTCAGTGCACATTACATTGCAGAGACATTGCACAGTAACATTGCAGAGACATTATCTGGAAAGTGGGAAGAGCAAGCCTGACCATGCGACTTTGCCCCAATTCAGAGCTTTTGAACCCTGTCCTACTATCTATTGCCTTATGGAAGTGCAGGGTGCAGCCCAGTGGTCCTGGGTTTGTTGTGTCTGTTGTATACATCACCACCCTTCCTGATGGTCCTTTACCTGTATCCTGGCAATCTCCACTTCTCCTTCTGCCTTAAGACATGATTCCATGCTCAGCTCTACGCACAGCACAGCATTCTTGTTCCTGCTGCCACCATTGAGAGCTCACATACATGCTGTTTACATGGCTCATCCCAAACTCTTGGTCCTCCTGCCTCTCCTTCCTCCTTTCCCTCCAGCATCTCATACTTGCAGGTCTAAAACCAACCCCCAGATTTTGTCCCCTCACGGTCCCCCTCATTTCAGTAACTGGGAACTATTTTCAACAAAACCTTGGAGTTGTCCCTGCTGTCTCTTTTTTCTCACATCCTACAGCCAGTCCCACCACACTCTCACTACCATCCCAGCTCACTCCATCAGCACATCTCACTCGGACTATTCCGGTATCTTTCCCGCTGGTCTGCAGGCTTTGAGTTCATCACCCATCAAGCTCTCATGTTCCACTCTGCTCCATCTGCATGGTTCTCACTGTGATGCCTTGAACATATCATGCACACCCCTGCCTCAGGACCTTTGCACTTGCTATTTCCCCTGACTCAGTGACTTTTCCCCCAGATAGCCATATGGCTTGCTCCTCTACTTCTTTCACATTTTTGCTTAATTGTTCAGAGGATTTTTCTTTGTCTACTTTATATAAAATAGAAGCCCCTTCCCAACTATTATGATTTTTTGTCCCCTCAGCTGGCTTTATTCTTCTTATCATCTCTGGTATCTTATATACTTATCTGTTTCCAACCACTAGAATGGATATTCCATGAAAGCAGGGGGCTCACTGCTTTGTTCACCACTGTGTTCCCAGCTTTTATTATAGTTACTGACATCTAGCGGGTGCTCAAAAATACTTGTGAAATGAATAGATGAGCAAACTTTCCTTTATTCTGTAACTCTTTACCTCTTCCCTGTCTCTCTTCTGAATCCTCCTGTTCTTTTTCCCAAAAGGACCCTTGCCACTTCCCTCATCTTTATTGGGGAGCAAATCGACATGACCTCTGAATTATTAATCTGCTACAATAATTTTATTTTTCCTCATTGAATTCCATGTTTATCTGTTAATCCTACCTCTTATCCCTCTACCTTGAACTTCTAAAGCGTAAGAACCAAATCTTGTTTTTCTTTGAATCCCAGGCACCTATGACAAAATCTAATACATCGAAAACAATAACCAATGAGTGAGTGAACAGGTGAATAAATGCTGTAAAAGGGTGAATACACAACTGAACAGAGCCCATTGAAAGCTGATAAACTTTGAAGTAAAATTACAGAAAATACCACAGCAGTTTATGTGGGTGAGAGGAGGCCTTACCTGAGCCCAAAAGAACAGAAAAACCTACTAAATACAATAGCCTGTTAGACACAAGTGAATAATTTCCCTGTTTTAAATCACAACAGCAGCAAAGGATATTTTTGCTCAAAAATGATAGGTTTTAAACATATTCAACCAATATAGTACTCTGGAAAGTCCATGCAAATGAATCTGAACACCTAATACTGATTAAGCTATGAAGCAATTTGAGAGCATTACCTTTATAAATTCTATCTTGACTGTATAGCTTTCTTATTATTAGGTACTTTTGATATTTGTTGCAGACTTGTGAAGCCCGTATTTAAAGTCAGGTGAGCACTCATCATGGCATGGCACCCTGGTCATTCTAGTGGACAGACGTCCTGGTCACCCCTCTCTCAGCCCCGCACCATGTGCTAATAAGAGCATTCCTAGCGCCATGGGTTCTGCTTTCTTACAGATGTCTTGAGCTGGAATGAAGTAGAACGAGCCTTCAAGGTGTTTACTTTTGAGAGCCTGAAGCTCTCTGAGGTTGACGAAAAAGGGAAACTAAAGTCTTCTGGGATGATGAGTGGAACAAATTCTGAAATGTTCAGCATACCATGGGATAACCCTGCCAGATTTGCTCAACAGATAAGGCAGCAATACATCATGAAAATTAGCACCCAGAAGGCCAAACAGCAAGCAGGTACACTGTATGGAGAGAATGAAAGACATTCTTGCATTTTATGATTGTCAGTTTTTCTAGTATTTTATCTCATGGGTGCTCTTTACACTGGCTAGATGCTGAAACCAAAGACAGAACAATATTTGTGGATCCAAACTGGTCAACGTCTGTGCAAGATAAGGAGAGCAGTGGAGAACCTTCAGATCCTAGTCAGACTGATGCTGATAGTACAAAGTATCCTGACTTGAATAATATGAAAGCCTTAGGTCCTGGTAATAGACAGCTGTCAGAGCAGGAGACCAGTGTGGAGACTCAGCCCCAGCCTGAGCCTTTGGGTAAGTAAAAGTGTGGTGTGTGTGTGTGTGTGTGTGTGTG